AGGGTGGGGGAGGCACTGCGGAGTGGTGGGGGGCTGCCTGAGGGGCTGGGAGAGGGTCCGGCCCACTCTGCGTCTGGGCTGGGACTGGTCCCGCGCAGGGTAGCAGGAAGCTCTCCGCACACTCACCGGACCTGGGCTAGGACTCGACCTTGATACTTTTGATGAGTACTCATTAGGCATTTTTTTTTTAATGTCCCTCACTTTGGATATGTCCCTTATTTTCTTATGAATTGATTCAAGTTTCGGATTTTTTGAGCAGAGCTACAGAAGTGTTATGTCCTCAGTGTATCGTATCAAGGGATACATCATGTAAAAGGTTTAATACCAGTGATGTCATCCTGGATCACAGGGGTAAGGTGCTATGTGCCAGTTTTCTCCACAATATATATTATTTTTCCTTTTGTAATTAATGTACATCTTGAAGAAGATCCTTTGAAGCCATGCAAATATCTATTTTTTTCTCAAACTTTTGCCCACCAACTTTTTCAGTGCTGGGGGTTGAACCCAGGGAGCAGAGATATAGTCTCAACCCTTTTTATTTTTTAACTTTGATATAGTTTCACTAAGTTGCCCAGGCTGACATTAGACTTATAATCCTTCTGCCTCAACCTCTCATGGGCATGCACCACCATGTGCAGCTTGCCCATGAATTCTTAGCAACCATTAGTAGTTCTTGCCTATATGTGGAGAGCTGCGAAGGACCGCGCCTACAAGATGGCGCTGGTTTCCGCCTTCCACCCCCCCGTGGGTGAGCACTCTCTGTGCACAACAACTCCTTATATGGCCAGGGCTGCAGTCCTGATTCGCTTCCGCATATGCTGGACCCATGGGCGATCCCCACGTGGCGCACTGGGATTGGGCTCGGGAGTATATATTAGCCAAGGGCTGGGGGATTGGGAAAGAAGAAGCTTGTTGCGCACGACCTCACCAGCAAGGAAGACGCAACACACAGCTCTTCCTTCAGTGGTTTATTCAGGCCCCTTACAGCAAGCTTCTTCTTTCCCAATCCCCCAGCCCCTGGCTAATATATACTCCCAAGCCCAATCCCAGTGCGCCACGTGGGGATCGCCCATGGGTCCAGCATATGCGGAAGCGAATCAGGACTGCAGCCCTGGCCATATAAGGAGTTGTTGTGCACAGAGAGCGCTCACCCACGGGGGTGGAAGGTGGAAACCAGCGCCATCTTGTAGGCGCGGTCCTTCGCAGCTCTCCACACCTATAATTACTACTATAGTGATTTTTCTGTCTGTCCTTCCTTCCACATTTGTACAATTGGAATTCCTATAAGAAACTTGACACTTTCCCCATTTGCTTCTTTGATTATTCATTTACATCAGTATGGACTCATTCTATGGTTTATAGTCTGATACTGTTTTGTTGATCAAATTCATTTAGTTGTCTTACACATTTTAATAATGTTTATTGGTTATTCACTCTGCCAAGCCCTGTGTTTCTGCTCTCATTTTGTCTGTAATGTTTGATAAATAGTCCTGAAGGAAAAACGTTGTTACATAGACAATAAAACTGAATCTCAAAAGGAACATAACACTTAGATGAACCAGTAGTAAACCCAGGTTTCCTATTTCAATTCAGGACACCAAGTTGTACGTTTGGAGATTTGGTCACATACACCAAATAAAATACAGAAATAAATAAAGTAAACAAACACCATCCTTGATATTTAAAATTTCACGTTTGAGTTTTGTGAAGTTTTATACTAGTTTCACAGAGTAGCAAATCAAGATCAGGTAAGTTGCAGAGTCTTGCAAGTTGAGGGGGGATAAGGCTTAGTCTAACCTTTAAAAAAAACTGTGATTTTTTTTAAAAGAAATTACAAATTAAGACATCTGGGTTTTGTTTTTGTTTGTTTTTTGAGTCTGGGTATCACTGTGCAGTTTAGGCTGGGCTTAAGTTCACTGTATAGCCCAGGCTGTCCTCTAATTCATGGTGATCCTCTTGTCTCAGCCTCCCAAGTGCTAGGATTATATGCATGTGCCACCATGCCTGGCTTGCAAATTAGTACATTGTAGTCTGTTCCTGTCTGAATGGAGATCAATCTACTGTTGATTTGCCAAAATCAAAAAATGAAACTTGTAAGCATTGTGTGTGTGTGTGTGTGTGTGCATATACCTCACATACATAATCTCTTCCTGATTCTAAAATCCTATTTAGTATATTTGCAGCTAATAGGAAAAGACAGTGAGATATAAGGCAACCCCAAATATAAAATGTCTGAGAAATCTACCTATAACTGTGGTTAAAGAAAAATGAAGATAGGAATGTTCAAAACATATCTGAAATTTCTAATGACATAATAACATAACAGCTGCTAACAACTTTGTCATATAGGTATCAGTACAAAACCCTCCAAGGGGGCATTTTCAGCCTCTGCAAAAATTTGGTTGCCTCAACTCTGAGGAGTAGGGGGTCACTATTGGCATCAACTAGGGGCCATAAGTGATGTAGCAAGCCAGAAATATGGCTAAACATTGTATGCCAGCCCCCACAAGAAAAAAAGACCTAGCCCAAGCTGTAAATAGTGCTGTAGTTTAACAAACCTTGTTTTAAAAATATTGAAAAGTAAAGCATTTCAGGCACATTTGAAAACTTAAACTAGGCTTATATAGAATACGCAATCTCTAGAGAATATTACCCACAGAATTTTTTGCACTTCCTTAACCTACGATAACTAATTTGTAGGTGGCCACTTGACCAGACCACAGGGTGTCCAGACAGTTGGTGAAACATTATTCTAGGTATTCTGTGGGAATGTGATATGGTTTGTTTTGAGGTGGTCCTCCAAAACCTCATGCAGTCATAAGTGGGGCTTTTCAGAGTGACTTGATCTAGATTGGGTGATACTAAGATCAAGGGTGTAACGCTAGGATTGACTTATGATGTGATGCTGGAATTAAGGCTATACCCTCCCTAAAGAACAGAAAGGGCTGTCACTTGTCACTTGCTGCTTGATGCCTTCTGCTTGCTATGAACTGTTTCTCCCCTGCAAGGTCCCTCTGCTATGTGCCACCCTGCCTTGGAGACGCCAGTTATGAACTGAAACCTCTGCAAACTGAGCCAAATAAACTTCTGCTCTTTTAACTTTGGGTGCTGGGTATATTGTTTCAGCAGATGGGAAAAGTAATTGAAATGGAGTGTTTGGGGATGACAGTAACATTTAAACTGATAGAGTCAAGGAAAGCAGATTGCTGTCCATACTGTGAGTGAGCCTCAGCCCATTGGTTGAAGGCTGAATGGAACCAAAGCCTGCCCCTCCCCCAGGTAAAAGAATTCTCCTAACTGGTACTTTCTAACTGAAGCATTAGCTCTTCCTGCATCTACAACAGCCTGCTGCCCTTCAGACTTCAACTGATACCTTTGCTCTGCAGACTTGAACTTGGCCTATAGAATTGTGTGAGCCAATTCCTTATAATATATATGTATGTGATTATAAAATTTATTATTCTGGGTTAGGGTTAGAGTTAGGGTTAGAGTTTGGGTTAGGTTTAGGGTTAGGGTTAGAGTTAGAGTTTGGGTTAGGGTTAGGGTTAGGGTTTGGGTTATTGTTAGGGTTTTGGTTAGAGTTTGGGTTAGGGTTAGGGTTAGGGTTAGGGTTAGAAAAAAAATTGATTCTGTATCTCTGGAGAACCACAACTAATACATGGGAATATCCTATTAGTTTGGGATCTTAGTTTGGTTTTATTGCTTTAGGGAAGCCTAAGAAATACTGTTCTTAGATTGTTACAAAACTGGCCCTTTTACTAAGTATTGTCTATGTATACATTACCACCTAGTAATAAAACAAGCATCTAAGTCACAAACATACGTGACATTTTGTAGACCAGACCTGTATATAAACCCAAGTTATTTGTTTAGTAAAGCACACAGTGAATGTTAACTAGACAAAACCTCCTCACGCACAGCTAAGAAGAGCCACCTTTGACATTAAACTAAATAATGTAGCAATATTTCTCTGCCTCATACTAATAAAAAGGGGAAATTAGAAGAGCACATACTGTCTAGTTGCAAAAATTCTAACTGCTACATCCTCAATGCCCATTTTTTAAAAAGTCATTTTTTTCTTTTGAGGCAGGATCTCTCTCTGTAATTCAGGCTGGCCTTGAACTTACTACATAGCCTAGGCTGACCTTTAACTCCTGGCAATCCTCTTGTGTCAGCCTTTTGAGTGCTGGGACTACAGGCATGTGTCACCACCCCTATCCTGATGTGATTATTAATTGCTGGAAACCTAATGAAAATTTTAGTGGGTTTGTAACAAAAGAAAAAACCTCTCAACTAATACCAATTGCAAAGTGGAACATCTAATTGATCATTATGCTTGCTCCTTACTTGGGTTACTCCAAAGTTAGGAAGAGCTGTTTTATTCTACATGTTCTACTAAGGTCTTTCTTATAGGTGGAAGAAAACCATTGGAAACTACTGAAATTAAATACCTGTATTAGGAGATTCCACTTGCTTCTCCCTTCATTATTAGAAATAGCAAAGCTAGTTGTAAACTGAGAACTTTTTTCTACTTACTGTATATTCACATTAAGTAACATCCACATTTGGAAAAAAGTGGTCATCTCTAACTTTTATTTTTTAAATCTGTCTCTGAGGATTTCAGCAAGTTTCCAAAGGTAAATCTATTTTCCCACTTTCAGGAAAGCTTGCCTTGTATTAGTCATCAAATCCGAGAAATAGCCCATAGTGACTACTTTCGAGTATCACCAAATGTTGATTTTGACAGACCTTACAAGGGATGGTCACTCCTAGGCATGGCAGTTAGCAGAGCTGAAGTCAAATATACCTTGCAATGGCTGAAGAGAACTGTGCTCTGGGGGAACACCAAGTCTGGTTAGGAAATGGGTCCAGAAGTCAGGAAAGAGTGCAAAGGAAAGTTTGTGTCATTTTGCATTTAACATTAGTATTGCACAATATTACTATGAGTAGAAATGTTCTAAATAACCAGAAAATATATCTGAGTCATTCACAGAGCTAAAATGAAGGAAATACCTGAGCATCTGTCCAGAATGCCAGACAACACTGCCGTGAAGCAGCAAAAGTTGCCTGCCCACGAGGTGCGCTTCTCGGCCAAGTTCGTCCTCTGTATTTTCTTTGGCACAGGAGCATTCTGCCTTTGTGTGGGTGTTATCCTAATATTATCTGCAAAGAGGGCCAAGAAAATAGAGGTTTGTATTTTATTTTTCCTCTTTCTCCTCTTCTTCCTCCTCCGTCTTCTTTTTTATTGTCTTCCTTTTGAAGCAGAATCTCACTGTAGCTCAGGCTGGCTTCTGACTCTCCAACTAACGGATTTCAGGCTGACCTCCATCTCTGTCCTCTTGCCTCAGCCTCCCAGGCCTAGCATTACTAAGTGTGCTCAGTTTGGGACTATAATTGGGAATGGGCAATTAGAGGACCTAGTCCCTCAACAGGAAACTAGATAGGACTGAGCCATCATCCCTCTTTCAGCTGGCAGGAGCACACGGTACCAGAGTTCATGTGAAGGGGCTTTCTGCATCCCTGCTCCTTCTCAAGACAGTCACTTAGTGAGCAACTTAGCTTAGTTAAGATGTGTTGCACATGGCAGAGGGACAACAGAAACAAGGAGAAAAGCAGGAGAAGCGGATGATGCCAGACGTACAGAGTCAAAGATACAGATCTTCCATTTCCAATATATACTTGTAATACTTGTAATTTTATTTTTTCTATATAATTAACATGTAGTGATGTTATGTATAGGGTACAATGTCCTATTTCAGCACATGTGCACAATCTTTGCCAATTACACTTGGGTAATTTTCATTTCTAGCTTCTTATCGTTTCTTTGTTTGGCGCCTTTGAGCTCCTTTCTTGTAAGTCTCCATAAAATACATACTAGTACATCATAGACTGTAGTTGCTCTACTGTGTTACAGAACACCACAGCTTATTCCTCCCATTTGGGCTTCTGATACCTTATTCAACCTCCTTCTAGCCCCCTAATCTTACTAGATTCTATTAAATCAACACATCTTATTTAATTTTTTTTTTTTTTTTTTTTTTTTTGCCTCCTTCGAATGTTCATGAGCCTCTCGACTTCCCTTCTTTCTCTTTTTCTCATGGTAATCCAAGTGGTACCCATAGCATTTATGGTGTTCTTCAATATATTCCTTTTGTGGTATGATGACAGCTACAGTGCCACTACTGGCAGCCTCATATGTAACAAACAAGAGTCCTAACTTTGAGGTCTTAACTCTTTTTAATTACTACTCTACTTTCAGATGAACTTTTTTAGCTTCCCCATGTAAGTGAAAATATGAAATATTTCTCTTTGTATATCTAGTATATGTCAATTGAAATAATATACTCCAGATCCATCAACTTTGTTGAAAATAACCTTTTCCTGCATAAATAATAGTCCATTGTACAACCACCACATTGTCTTTATTTGTCAGTGGACATCTAGACTGATTCTATTGTGAATGGTGCTGCAATAAATATAGGACTATACATATCTCTTTGATGCACTGATTTCATTTCCTTGAGCTAGTAACACAAGTAGAATAGTTGGATCATATGGTAGATCTACTTCTAGCTTTTGAGGACCCTCCCCAGAGTTTTCCATAGCTGTTGTATTGATGTACATTTCTACCAACAGTGTATGATAATTCCTTTTTCTCCATTTCTGTCTCTGTAACTAGCATTTGTCATTTTTTGCACTTTTCATAATAGCCATTTTGACTGAGGTAAGATGATTTCTTACCGTGGTTTTGATTTCTGTTTCTCTGATGGCTGAAGTTGAGCATTTTTATATACTTTTTAGCTATTTACATTTCTGTTTTTGAAAAGTGTTTATTTAGATGATCTGCCCATTTTTTATTTCTTTTTTGTTGTTGGTGATGGTGAGGGTTTTTTTTACAAGTTCTTTATATATTCTGTATATTAATTGTGGCTGATTAGCTAATGGGCAACTTGTATCAGCCAGCTGAACTGAAGCAGCATGGTGCTGGGCGTGAAGGGCCCACGTGAGGATTTTTGCTAATGGCATAAAAGAACTGGAGAGGAAGGTGACGTGCTGTTGATCCTCTGGAGAGGCTTGTCATGCTGGTTTTCCTGATATGACCTCAACTGTTCTCATCACTGGAGGAGCTCAGGACCGTGTGACTATGGTACTTTTTGGTCTTTGGTCCTTACCTTGAGCATTATTCCTAACCCCAGTGCAGATCTGTCAGCCTGCTGGCTCAAACCCTTCATCCTGCTGGTAGAGACTTCCTAGCTCCCACCACTGACCTTTGGGCTTTCCCAGTGTAGATCCTTGATACAGACTTGCAGGAGACACAGTCCTGGGCTCTGCACCTCCAGCTGGACTCATGGAGGACACTGCCATGGGCTCTAGGTCTTCAGCTGGACTTGTGCAGGATACTGCTGTGGGATCCAGGCCCTCAGATGAATTACTTGAGTCTCTAGTGTGTGGACAGATCTCCTGCACTCTTTTGCATTTGATTCATTAGGTAAATACAAAATAATCTTATAATTTGTGTATGTTGTATTAAATCTTCTCCCTTGTAAACCTTGAGTACAGCATTAATCCTTTGTCAATATGAATAGAATGCAAATATTGTCTCCCACTCTATAGGATAATTCTTAACTCTCTTGATTGTTTCTTTTGCTATGCAGAAACTTCTTAGCTTGTTATGATCCTGTATGTCAACTTTTTGCGTTCATTGCCTGTAGTTGTATTCTGTCTTGTTAGCATTCTCTCCCAAATCCAAATCCACTAGCACTTTATCATAAGAAGATAGCTACTTCCTGGCCTCACACTACCACAATTCTGTAATCATTCCTCAGCAAAGTGAGGGAAAACCAGTAGCAGCCCACTACAGACCCCACCACAACCCCAAGCCCCAGAGCTGGGCATCTCTGAAGAGTAAGGGAGCCCCACAGCCCCTGGATCCTGATCTCTGAGCCTCCTTCCTTCCTGTTTTCTTGTCATTTCTTTTCTTTCCTTTTTTTTCTTTTTTTTTTTTTGGGGGGGAGGGTGGGCAGGGTCTTGCTCTATAGTTCAGGCTGGTCTTCGACTCACGTTGTAGCCCAGGCTGGCCTCAAACTTAGAGCAGTCCTCCTGCCTCAGCCTTCCAAGTGCTGGGATTATAGGCATGTGCCACCATGCCTGGATCCTTACCATTTTCTGACTGCATAGAACTCAGTGTCAGCCAGAGCTCATGGAGTCACCCATTTGGACACACAATCCTTTTTCCACTTGATCTTAGCCAAACAGCCAAGAAATCATCACAGGATGCCTTTTAAAGGAGTTCATTATACCATTTTCCACAGAATTTAATTTTTAAAAAGCAGAATGCCATAGCTTTAATACTAGAGTTATTCCACATACATCAATAATCTTATTTGAAAATGCTTCCTTTTCTATGTTCAGTCACTTTTAGCAACTTTCTTTGAATGCCGTATAAAATACCTCATTAGTATGAACAGTCTCCATAGAGTGAAATGGAAAAACAGTGAAGCATCTTCACCATAAGTGGGAGCAGACTCAGGCTATAGCCCAATTTTCCTGAGTCACTGACTATTACCTTCCCAGTGACACCTCATTATGATAGGGAAAAAAAGGGCCTCATCCCAACAGGTCACACAGCTATGAAACAGAAACACTGAATTCCAGGCCCGTTGCAAAATGTTGCCAGATCCCCGAATGAAAGCCGAGAGAGAAGGCCGTGCCCTCCCAAGCAGCCCAGAAACGCTCCCCCACACTGTGGGCCTTTGGGGGACAACCGAGGCTCCACAGCCAGCCCAGGTGGAAGACTTTGGTGACTCCGGACTTAAATTTAAAGCACATACTTCTGTAACTTTTCAATTCATAATTGTTCTTTTCCTGCTTGACAGATTAATTACACGACAATATGTGCCAATTGTGCTGAACTGCGGGAAAATCCCTTTAATTTTAACAGAGAATGCAGGTGCTCTATACCATTTTACCTTCCGGAGATACTGGAGGTGAGTGAAATCCAAGAGCTAAGTGACTGTGCTGATGCATGAGCACTTCTACTGAACTGTCTAGGAAAATTATGCCATTTTCCACAAACTTTAATTTTTAAAAAGCAAAATGCAGTACCTTTAGTACTAGAGTTATTCCACAAACATGAATAATCTTATCTGAAAGTAAGTTCATGGTTTCCATCAAATGCTCTCCCAAACTCAAAAATAGGAAAAGTAAAGCAGGGTGGGAGTGACAAATTTTACAAATTGGAATGTATGCCTATCTATTTGGTGTTATTCTTGTCCTTTATATATTTGTTTTTAAATTGTAAGGTTCTTTACCTACCTAACTTCATAACATAAATTTTATAATTAACCAAACAGGTGTTATTCCAAATGTTAGTATAGGAAGGGCCTGTAAAGATCACTGAATTTAACCAGTCACTTTGTAACCAGAAAATTAATGGGCTGAGACATTAAATGATGTGGCTAGAGTCATACAGTAAATTAATGTTGGTGGTCTTATGTGGTGGGAATCTCCTTGCCCATCCCTCCCCCCATTCCAGCCATCCTATATTTGCAGTTGACTAATTCTTAAGTCACTCCCAACCTCACTGTCAGGCATTATGAGGAATGCTAAAGAAATACTGTGAGACCACACACCCTATTCTTGGGCTTGTTAAAGTCATGTGTTAGTTTATCTAGCCATGTCTTCTGAGAAGCAGATACAGGATAGAAGTGGACATGCAAGAGATTGGTGGGGGGATACGTCATAAGGAATATGAAGGGAGCAGGAAGAAGTTGGGGGAACTGTTAGACCACAAGAAAGTATTGATCCTTGAGAAGATGAGAAGGAGGCAGAATGGAAAGGGCCTTGAGATGGATTGCTCAGTGAGAAGTTCACCAGAAAACACGCTGGACCCAGATTCGTCCCACCTGCGAAAGCAAGAGGGACTAGGTCAAGGTGAAGAGATACAAATTTCAGAGGATAAGATGGGCCATGGAATAACTTTGAGGTACTGAAGAAAAATTCATTTTCCATTTGATTAAGTCATGACTATCAGGTAAGTCTGTGGAGGCCCTGAAAAGGCTCCTCTCAATACTGCCACAGGAAGTGGAAAGAGGGAAGGCCCCAGCTGTGCTCTGTGTGTTGGCACAAAAACTATGCTCTCTAGGTCCCACTATAGGGGTGAGCACAGCAGGGTCACTAAGGCAGTTGTCTCCTTGCTCCAGTGAGTTTCTTTGGGGGCTACCTGCCAGCTTGCTGGAACTCCTCTGCCCACCACATGCAGCACCAAAGTGCTGGAGGTGCAACTAAAAGCCCCAATCTGCTAAACAGGCACTCTGCCACCAAGCTATATGCCCAGCCCCTGACACTAAGAAATTGTGAAACCATCTTCCCACTGTTTCCCCCTTTTCCACCCTCCTTTCCTTCTTAATTTTATTTTTTTTCTTTCCTTTTTGTAGGCTCAGAATACTTTTCTGAAGAAAAATCTTAAAGATAAAACCTTAATACCCTTTAAAGCCCATGTGCCATGTTACCAGTGGCTGAGCTTTGCCTTTAGCAGAGCCTCCTGTGAAAGCCCAACCACATTTCCTAGGACAATCACAGGGCCTTCAGCCCTCCAGGAACCTCACACTAATTAAGCCAGAACCCGGGCAATGAATAAAGCCCATTTTAAACACAGTGGGCCTGCACAAGGGGCTGGGACCAGACCTGGAGTTTCCCACTACTCATGGCTCAATCCAAAAGCTCTACCCAGTAGCCCATAGAAAGTTTATTTAAAGCCACTCCTGATGAACATGGAAGGACTTCTCTGTCACTTAAAATCTGTCTTTTTTTAAGGCACTTAGGTTGAGTTGTGAGGGGCTTTATGAGAGGACAGAGGAGAGTACAGAGTGACAACAGGCGGGAAATGCCCATACTCAGCAAGTGTTCCTCTTCAGAACACATGGGGGTGTATTTTCCCTTTTTCCTCATGGAAACAGAACAGGATCTACATTTTCTTTGTAGACAGAGGGATTACTTCTTCTGCAAGTCAGCTCACATTAGCTGGGAGAAGAGTGACTTTACAGAAGCTCAAAGGTTTTTAGAAAACTACTTGGTTGCAGTGCCACTGAGCCTAAAGAGAAGAAAGGCCAGCAAGTGAACTGTGCTTCCAGGAGTAATCAAAAAGATGCTGATGATGGAGGCCTTGGTCGGCTAATCTGGGATAGAGTCATTGAAAAGAGGTCATTGAAACACTCTGATCCTCAATGTAGCCAAGTATTCCCTGCCTGTTTATTTTGTCACTGATGTGAATATGTAACTCTGGTTAAGTGGAATTTGCTTTTTGGCTTCTAATAAAATGTGTGGTAAATTCCATTCTGTGGATTTCATACTTTCCATGGTCATGGGTCAACAATGGAGGTTCCCTTTCTGGGTGACGAAATGTGGCCTTTCTTACTAAGCTTGGCTTACTTGCTGCCCTGCCAGTGCTCTCTCTTGGCTCCTTGCAGCCTGCCTCCTTGTCATGTCTCAGGAGCTCTCTCCCCTTTGCAGTGTACAAAGAGATTTCTCTTAAAGTGACCAAGTTCTTCAGCTGTTATTTTCTATACTTGGCCACACTTTCCATGACTTTCCTCACAGCTCACCATGAGTACCAGTTCCTATTTTCTGTATTCCTCCTCTGTAAGGTCCTTGGAAAGATAAGCCAAAAAACCTTTCAACATGCTGCCTTTTCATAGGTTTAAATTATCAGGAGGCTCTGGTAACTGCAAAGAATACTTTTTTTGCACTAAATGTATCACTTAATATAGGTAGGCCTCATTTTGAGATATATTCCTTAATTATTTTGAAGGTATTAGTATATTAATTATAAACAACTGCACCCACATTTCTATAAGTGCTGATATGTAGGAAACCTTTCTAGATCTTGTAGCAATCCAGAAAACTCCACATTTGTAATCCCACAGAAAATTTACTGGAATTCTAATAAGTTAATTCTAGTCTGCCACTTCTGGTGCACTGTATGGCAAGAATAAAGACATTAAGACATATTTGTAATTGTGGGGAGCCAAGGGGTCCTAATTGCAACTCGAACAATGGCTAACTAGAACAAAGGCCTCTACCCAGGGCTGAACCCAGGTTTTATTAATTTGTGAAGAGGGGAGTGGCAGGAAGTACATGGGTACCATGAGTGAGAAAGATGGAGAGTAATCTGTATAACAGAATTCAAGACATTATCTAATGTTTTGGGGGTCAGTGTGTTAGCTCTGATGTGTAATTTTTTTATTCTCTGAAAAGTTATAGCCTCTTATCTCAAGGCTGGGTCTCTGCCCTTGGGGGGCTCTCTCAGCCCAGCTCATACACACATCATGGGAGTTACAAGCAGGGCAGCACTGCCCTGCTGCCCTGCTTCAAGCACCTTACATCAGCACCTGGCTAGACCTATTTGCAATGCTTAAAGCCAATTGAGGGGGGCCAGGGAAATGGTTCAGTGGAATAAGCACTTCCCTGGCAATCTCAAGGGCCTGAGTTCAATCCCCGGTTCCAACAAAATAAATAAATTAATTAAATAAAGAAAGAAAGCCAATTGAGGGAATAAAGACAAGACTTAGCCAGCTTTGCACACATTAGGGACAGATTTAGCCAAAAAGGAGATGATTGTTCTTTCAACAACTGTCCACATGTTCCTCCACAGTGGCAGTGGAGAATCTATGAATATGAATATGTTAGTTAATTTCCTATGTACTATTAGTAAAGTCTATCCAGAAAATTTCCAGGACTTTGGTATAGTCAGCTTTCTGTTATTGTGCCAAAATACCTGAATAAACAACATAAGATATTGCTTTTGGCTTAGAGTTTCAGAGCTGCAGTCAGCAGCAACACATGGCATAGGAGGCTGCTCACTTGTGGTGAACAGGAAGCAAAGAGAGAGACAGGGCTGGGACAACATAGAGTTCCTAAGAATATACCTCCAATGACCTGCTGTTAACTGCTGCTCCAAACCCATCACCTCCCAGTAACCCACCAATGGGTCCATCCCCTCATGAGGTTAAAACTTTCACGATCCTATCATTTTCCAAAAGCTGTCCCTCTGAAAACACTACACTCCGAACCATACACTCAATGCAGGAGCATCAGGACCTCAATAATACATAATTTTAGGGCAAAAACTGCAACCCAGGAGTCCCAGTAGACCATGCTTGGCCACCCATCCCAAACATCAATCAATAGATAAACACTGTTCAAAGGCAGGAGCTTTAATCAGCATGGTCAGGGGCTGGGGAGACAGCTCAGCAGATTAAGCGCTTGCCTGGCAAGAGCTTGAGTTCAATCCTTGGTTA